GTTTTCCCCCCCAATTCTTTTCCAAGTAGGTTTTGTTTACTCCCCAAATCCCTGAGCCAGATGTGGGGTGCCTACACTCCTAAACCCTGAGTGTCCAGCCTTCCCTGTTTTTAGTCTCGTGCTGTGCCTAGTGGCACCTGGGCTAGGGGAGGACACTGCCCCTGTCTAGGTTTTTATAAACGTCTTACTCAAGTTCAAACCTCCAGCTTGTGAATCAACTGTGTCTCTTTTTTGACTTGGTAAGCAAGTATTAGGCTTTGGGGTGGGGGGAGGTCTGTAATGTGAAACAACTTCTTTTCTTTTCCCCCTCCCATTGTTGTAAATAACTTTTAATGGCCAAATCCCAGATTTGTACTTTTTTTTTTTTTCTAACTTTTAAAACCATTCTCTTCCACCTGGTTTTACTGTAACATTTGGAAAAGGAATAAATGTTGTCCCTTTAGTGGTGCTTTTTAATGAGTGGCCTTCTGGGGGAAGGGTGAGAAGACTGGTTAATCTCAGCCCTGGCCAGTGTTGCTCAGTTGGTTGGAGTGTAGTCCAGTATAGCAAAAAGTTATCAAACCCAGTTGGGGTTCATGCCAGGGGAAACCGATCAACCTTTCTCTTTCTCCCCCTTCCTCTCTCTAAAAAATAAAATTTAAAAAGGATTGGTTAACCTCAAACCTTGAGGGAGGGATGAAGGACAGGTAAGTTTGTGGGGTTCTTTTATTGTTGGGGCGTTGCCCAGATCTTCATGGACCCCAGAAAGGCAGGGAAGTGGAATAAAAATTAACCCAGGGATACTGCTAGATAAGCTCAGGAGGGTATAGAAATGTACCATTTTATTACAAAGATTCTCACACACACATACACACACACAAAATCCCCAAAAATAGCATCTCAAAAAGGAAACTACCAATTCCCACCTGCAAAATGGAGGAGTGAGAGGGGTCAGGGGTCAGATAGTGTGAGTTTCTTAACTCACTTGGGGCCAGTGGGAAGGTATAACAACCAATCTAAATGTAGCTGATGTTACCTTAAGGCGCCTGTAAAGAACAGGGGGTTCCTGAAGACCCAGCCATTCCTAGAATGCTCAATATGGGCATCTTTCCAAAGCCACTAAGCAGGAATTTGGCATTTTGGAATTATGTTCTATGGATGTTTAAGAGAATAGACTCCCTTCCACCCAGAACTGGCACCCTTTATGGTTCAAAATTAAGAATTGGGGAAGGATGGCAGGGCAGCTATTATAAGAGCGTGCCCTGGGCTCATGGCCCTGGTTCCTGTCTAGTCCCTGGGAATATTTATATTTAATATATTTTTATATAAATACACAGAAATAGAAAATATAAAATCTGAGGGGTTACAGGAGAAAGATGGGGCACTTAGCAAGAAGCCAGAACTGGAGAGGACTGCTCAGGCCAATTTGACCTCCTCTTTAACCCTGTGGAGAGAACAGACTGCTATGAGATGACCCACCCCAGAGGCCTGAAGTGTGGGTACAGTGACTGACTTCCACAGGACCCCGCTGCCCAGGTGACTGCTGAGGGCCGGGGCTCCCTAGCTCTGCCTAGAACTGCAGACAGACTGGTCCCTGAAAGGGGCCTTTGTGAGCTGGAGCAGCTGTCCCTGTGCCTTCCCTCTCAGTGTAGTGGACAAAGGGGCTGGTGCACCACTGCCAGGGAGATGGCTGACAGCTCCTTCCTCACCCTTTGGCTTCTTGCTTGTCCTCCTTGGTTTTCTCCTCTTCTGTGACTTCTGAAACATAAAAGTGCAGGGATGGCCAAGGACAGACCCTCTGGAAAGACCCATGGGATGTTCCCTTACCAAAAAACCCCTTCCCCACACTACAGCTCACTGGACATAAAAAAAAGCCCATCCCAGGTCTACCCAGTGAGCCCTGTTGAGAACAAACAGGTCTGACCGGTTTCCCAACCTGCTAGAGCCTGAACCTGGTGGGAGGAGGCAGCCCCCTGGGAAACTGGGGTGAAATGCCAGGAAAAGGGCTTGGGTGGTATGTGAGGGCCACACTCCTGACCACAGGGAGCCCAGGCATGTCCCTGGCTTTGGAGCCTGGCAGGGCTCGATAATCTGGTGGAGATGATGAATTGAGTTTCATTCCTTTGTAAGCCTTGCCACTTCTGGGAGCCACTGAAAGGCCAAGGAGCTGAGGAAGATCCCCACAGGAGCTGGCAGGATCCAAGTCAGCTCCCTCCTCCCAGTGCCCTACATAGATTCATCATTCCCCAGTACTGGGGCTCAACACCCAAATCTTTGCCTAACCCATACCCACCTTTCTTCTCTTCTGGGTCTTTCTCTTTTTCATCCTCAGTTTTAACTCTCTTGGCTTTTTTGAAGTTGGAAGAGTTCTTGCGACCACCTTCTCCTTCCTCATCAGAGTCGGAGAACTCTTCCTCACAGGCAATTCGTTTGTCAGAGGAACAGACTGGGAAGCAATGGAAAACACAGAGAGCAGGAGTGCCCTATGTTTCCCCATGAGTGTCCTCTGAGAGACACTAAGGGTAGAGGACAAAGAAGGGCAAAGGGAACTCAGGTTCCCTACTTGCTCCTACAGGCACTGAACTTGGGTTTCCTAACAGATGGGTAACTTGGGGGAAATGGAAACCAAGAACAGTGGAGGGAAGTTAGAGTTGCCTACTCAGGGAAGTACAGGACCCTGGGTTGGGGTCTTACTCGAAATGCGCTTGTCAGGGTCTTCCTCATCCTCATCACCACTCTCCTCTGGAATGGCGTCCTCGGGAATCGCCTGCATTTGGACCCCAGGTGCATGGGGCAGCATTCTCAGGTTCTCAAACAGTCGCTGTCTATGGCCAATGGTATAGAGGGTGGCTGGGTTCTAGTTAGGGACAAACCACAGCCTGGAATGTTCAATCAAGAGGTGTCTGGGGATATACTCACTTGATCTTCTCCAGGTACTCATTTGTGTTCTGGTTAGTCATATTGGAAGGACTGATGTGAAGTTTGAAATCTGGCCCAAAGTATTCAAAGTAGTCGTTGTATGGAAGCTCTAATTGGGGTAGCAGAGAGAGTCATGAGACCTGGCCAAACCATGGGACCCCGAGAAAAGCATTTACAGATTTATAAGGACCTATAAGCCCAACTATCAAAGAGAAGAATGCCTCCAAAATAGGGTGAGAATCATGTCTATAGTACTTCAATCTTTTCAATGGCATTCTCCAATGTCCACACCAGTGGTGTGTGTGTTTACCTCATTATGAGTAGGCCCAAGCCCTTGGTTTAGAAAGATTTAGGCAATATTAATTGGGAGCACTCCCTTACTCACTACCCCAGTTACCATATAGAGAAACTCCAGAGCTATAAATAACCAGTGGTAATTTTGTTCAGACCAAAAAAGGGAGAGGGAACAGGGTCAAAAAGGACTCAGGAAAAATTCATGACTATGGTCTGACAAACACAAGAGAATAAACAGGAGAATCAATAACTAGTATTGGAAGAGGAGAGGTCATTTAGCCAAAGGGAAAGGAGTTGTGAACTTGAGGACATGTGAGCTCCAGCTCTAACCAGCCAACCTGGCCTTGGAGCTATTACCATTAGGAATCTCTGTGTCCAGAGCGACAGCTGTTTCGTATGTCCAGCATCGGGCAACATTACGAATGGTGTAGCCACCTCCTCCCAGCATCAGCATAGGCAGGTTAAAGCTCTTCACAAACTCCACACACTTGGCGTGCCCTTTGGTGGAAGGAGGTGCTGGGTTACAGAAGCACCAGCAGGACCCTGCCCACCCAGGCCTATGCCACCTGGCCTCACCTTTGATGGTCAGATTGAAGCAACCTAACCGATCCCCAGACAGGGAGTCAGAGCCACACTGTAGGACGACTGCACTGGGTTGAAACATCTCCATCACTTTGGATATGACCTAAAGGATAACATCCTCGTCACCACCAGCCTCAAGAAAAGCTATGTGTTGTTTTAGGCTAAAAAGAGTGGGTGCAGCACTTGCTTCTGTACCTTTCCACTCTCTTATATGCTGGGTGGTAGATAAAAGGAAGTATCAGCCCGGGCTTCTGGTTTTCCCACTTTGAATTTCAGTTTTCTGATCTGACAGGATCTCCTAGCTCTACCAACACTGAACTTAGAATGGCCTCTGTATCAACCCCCAGTCCCTTCTTTCACTACCTAAGACTTCCTCCAGGAAGTCTTTCTGACCCTTAGGTGCGTCTGCTCTACTCACCTGGTCCTATAGACTTTGAGCCTGATCTTGTGAGGAACCATTACTGAGGACAGAGACCATAACTCAGGCTTCTGTTGCTGCCCGCCCTTACTACAAGCACAAATTAGGCATTTGGTGTTTGCTGACTTTACTAGGTTACTCTATTAATGGTTCCCTGCTGCTGACAAGTGAAGATTTGTCAGCAGGACATTCAAGACTCCCTCTGAAATACTGACCCCAACATACATTTTCTACATCCTTAGATACTCTTCCCACGTATCACAGTGGCCTACAGACAGCTACATATTGGCACCACTGTTCCCTCTGTTGAATGCCACCCCTCCCACCAGCCCCCATGTCCTTCTTTACATGGGTAACTCATTTTTCAAAGTCTAGCTCAAATGTCACCACCTCTGTGCAACAATCAGACTACCCTTTCCCCAGCCCAGGCAGCAGACTGCCTCACACTCCTCTGGTTCATCCCTCAAAAACAGTACTGACTACACCGTTAGGTATATGCCTGCCTCCCACACTCTAGATTGTGAGGTCTTCAAGGCCATAGATCATGACTTAGGTATTCTTGTATCCAACAGAAGGCCTGAATCACAGAAGGCATCAACAACTATTTGGATGAATTGTTTCCGGAACTGAGCATACAGCATGCAATCCAGGGTTGAAGCACATCTCCCAACCAGCCTCTCAGTGGGGAAAGACCCTGAAATGGTGGGGTGCTTTGCTACCCCTCCCTTAGGCCAATCCCATTTGTAACCCAGGTGGTGGATAAACCACTTACCGGCTTGAAAATGGCCTCATAGGACTCGTCATCAATCCCATCTCGAAGCGGGTAGTTAACAGCATAATACTTGCCTTTGCCAGCCCCGATATCCTAATCAAGGGGACATTAAAATAAAACTGAGAAATGAAGCTAGAAGTTCAAGGATGGGGGCTGGTTCTAAGAGGCAAGCGGGGCCCATG